TAATGATGATTCATCCGTATAATTAGTCAAGAATATGAAATAAAAACTAGAAAAATGTCTAAGTTGTAGTTATCGATACATTAAAATAAGAGAATTTTCATGAGAGAAATTGTAATGTACACTAAAATGAATTATTTATTTTCTAAAGTAATCATTAAAGATAATTTTTTTATAAAATGTGATAAAAACTGTATTTTTAGAATGGATTTAGAAAGAAAAATCATAGTGTATATTTAAAGGGAAAAATATTAACATTGCACTATAAAGATATTATATTTCTATTAGAATAGTGGTAAAGTAGAATCAATTTTCCATTTTCACAAGAAAAAAAAAGTTTAAAAAAACTTTCGATTAAGTATTTTTCCAAAACTACATCAAACAATTCAAGCATAATTAAATTTATTTTAAAAAAGTGATACAAATTGCTCTTATATTCAATAGAATATGCACTTAATCTTCAAAAGCAGAAATAGCCATAGAAAATTAATGTGATAATAATGATGCATTATATTAATTGGCAGCCATATTTAAAATCTATATCAAATCATGAATTTGCAGAACTTGGCTTTCTTATTTAAGTTCTGATTTAATGTTAACTATAATTATTTTAAAGTTAATCGTCTAGCAATCAGAAATGTAGATGAAATGTGCAAATTTAACATTATAAATGTAATAAAGAATCTCTCAAAATCATCTAAGAAATTTTAAAATATAGTAAAATTATACCTGCTATATTTCTCTGCATATCAACTGCTGGCCACATTTATGGTCACATTTATTACACTAAAATATATTGCACTAATTATATTTATGAAAAAACAACACTAAACAATGAAAGAACCACTGAGTAAACAACAAAATTCACAGAACACTAGAACCCAAGCTTCCTGTAATTGAATTACAGAGAAGCTTACTGTTACTTATGGCGGTTAAAACAGAATTTTCTTCACTACTAGTTTATACTTAAATATAAAAATATTTCTTTCTTTACCAAATAAAAATTAAATGATACAATTGGACTGTTTTTTATTTATTATTATTATTATTATCCTTTGTATTTATTTCTTTAAAAATATTGTTAACTACTAATTATTGTTAATACTATTAATATAAATATATACATTTTTATTCAATATATATAAAAAAATAACATACAATTTATTAATAGAATAAAATGAATATATTTTTTGGCTAATTTACTTTAATATATTTTAATTAATGAAGAATATTTATCATATTATAATTCACATATATTAAAACAAAGTTACATAGTTTGATTATATAATTTAAATAATTATTTTTAAATTATTTTTATATATTTATTAAATAAAAAAATAATGGTATAACATATTTTATGAAAATTTATATATTTTTATATTCTCTTCAATACTTAGCAGATGGTACACTTTGCATTGAAACTTGAATAGCTCAACCATTTAAGTTAAGATATTTTAATTTATAATATTTTAAACTTTATTATTTGAAATTATTATTAGTAAATTTTTCTTCTGTGAAATGTTTAATCTATCTTGGTATTCTTACATACAATATACGGATCTTTATTACCTAGTTAAAATATGTACATATTTTATTTTATCCTGGATTTTTGCATAGACTCCATGTAAAAGGTGAGTTTGTAAAATAGAATAAAATGTTATGCTTCTAAATACTTATTATTATTCATTTTATGCCATTAATTTTATACATAGCTCTCTAAAAAAGGCAAGTTTAGTTGATTGCTATAGTTTCTATTTTTTTAAATTTATAAAAAAATGGAATAAAAAGGGAGTATAGGTTTTCAAAATACAGTTTTCCAAAAAGTGACCCCTTTTATTCATTCTATAGTTGGTTCCTTTATTCGTTTAGAATATATACAAATTGAAATATGACTCTTATATATTACTATAAATATTTTAAAATTATTATGGATTATTTCTTTTTTATAAACTTCATTTTGTAATAGGAAAAATCTTTGAAACAAAATTTAAAGCACTTTTGCCACAAATAACTGTATATTTATTTGCCAATTATAAAAAAATGTCCTGGACTACATGAGATTTCAGTGATTAATGTTTGGGGGTAATTTTTAATTGGCCACATATCGCTCTCATAAGTGTATAATAGAACATGCAGACTTGTGACTGTAATTATGTTATCTTGTATTTAGCATTATTTCTTCATCATTTTATGCTTTAAAAAATAGTAGAGGAAGTGCAATATTAAACCATTCAATCCAATGGCCAATGGAAAAAAAAATTGAATGAAGCTTTATTCAGATGTCTTTCTACTGCTCACACTACCATTTGTACGAGAAGCTTTTTCTTTATTGGAAATTTAATCTGTTTGATGGAAAGAATGGAGGTTAATATATTTTTTTTATTGATATTTAGTACTGCATTAATACAAGTAAAGCTGCTATATGAATATAAAACATGACAAGATCTTGTGAAGAAGCTACCCCTTGGTAACACTTCAACGACTAGATTAATTTTAGGAGTTTCTCTGGCCATTTTCTTGTCAGACCCCTCCAAAGATTGTCAGAAACTGTTTTGGATGAAAGGTTATAAATAAGAGTGTTGAGGTAACCATGTTTTGAGAGTTTGTTTGGAATTAAAAGAAGAATATCTAATTCGGCCAAGTCCTCGACAAAGGAAATGTTGAGGTCTTTATGGATAATTTTATTTGTGACATAATAAGAAGCTTTTAAGGATTTTGGATTGTAAGGGTGGATACAGGAAAAATTTGATAGTTTTGTGGAGCTCTAAGCTCAACTCTATATGTCCAAATGGGTTTGATGATAGTAGTGTATATGATTTTCTTTTTTAATATTGGAAGTTTAGAGCATTTGTCAAGTAAATGTTGTAGTAATCGGAATCTATAAGCAGTTTTTTTTTCAGTCTAGTAGGAGGATTCCAAGAAAGATATTTGTCAAGAAGGAGTTCTACTTAACAGATCTGTTTGAAAGAGATGATAAAAAATAAAATTAATTAATCAAATCAAACAAAAAATAAAGTGCAAGTATTGCAATTGAAAAAAAAAATCTTATAGCTGAATAATGCTCTTGATTATAACTTTCCTATTAGTCTACGAAGGTTTCATTTACTATAATATGTTTTATACCTGCTCAGAAGAGTGTGGCATGGTGGTTATTAATTGAACTACATGTTTACAGGGTTAGGGATTTTCGATGGAATCATATTTCTGTGGGTTTTAAATTTCGAGTAACTTTCGAACCAGGGAAAACATGTATCAGATAACTGCACAAGTTTAATTGTAAATAAACTAAATAATAATTAAAGGCACCTCTTCCACTGATATTTACGTACTTATGATCTCCTAGTCCAAAATTTTAGGTTTATTCCGTTATTGGTAACATTATAATCATTTTAATATTTAAGAATATTTCTATTTATGTAATATTTTAATGTACCTAATATTTGCTATCTATTTTATATATTGAAAATGCTTCACAACCATCTCATTGTCATAATAGTGCATGATAAATATTTTGTTCCTAGGTTAAAATTAAGTTCAAAACACGTAATATATAAACTAGTATTTTTTTTTTTTTTTTTTTTTTTTTTTTTTTTTTTTTTTTTTTTTTTTTTATATATACTTTCCATAATAATTTATAAGTATCCTGTGTTTGTAGCAACCCAATATAATTGGTCAGCACCCCTTTCATGAAAATAAAGCGATTCTCTCTCTATTTTTACTAGCAGCATTATTAAGAATATGTGAACAATAAAATTTCGTGTATCTGGAGTCATCAATTGATCTTGAACACTCCCATGTCTTAGAGAACATAAGTTTATTTTTTCTTACTCGTTTTTGATATTGCTCGTTGAAACATACTACCTTTATTTACCATTTAATTTAATATGAAAATGAATGTGTGCTTTTTTAAATTATATTTTATATTAATATTAAATAGTTAAGACTATTAGTCCATGGTACAGACCCGCTTTTATCAAATTATGAACATCTGCCTGAAACTTCGTAAATAGTTTCATCTTATCGTAACCTGCGACTATTTTATTTACAAAAACTCTTGGAATTGAGACATTTTCAATCTGGAGGGGGGCAAACAATGTCTATTTAATTAGGTTCTAAAAACTCGTAAATACCCATTAGCTTTGTACTTGGATCATAAGATAATTTGTTCACAAAATCAATAAGAAAAGTGGCCTTCAAAAATATTGAGATCTGCACCCCCTAATTTTCAAAATAATGAGGTTATATAGGACAAACAGCCCATTGTTTTAGTAGGCCATCTTTATATGATCCAAGTAGAAAGGAAATGGGCATTTAAGAGTTTTTAGTACCTAATTAAATAGACAAAATTTGCCCCTCTTCAGATTAAAAACGCCCCAATTACAAGAGTTTTCACAAATAAAATAGTAGTAGGTTAAGATGAGATGAAACTATTTACGGAGTTTGAGGCGGATGTTAATAATTAGATAAAAAGGGGTCTGTACCAAGGACTATATTAAGCTCCACAGATATGCAGTTTATATTGGAACCTTTGATGTAGTCTATATTAGGTGGTTTGTCTCTGAAATTTGATTTTTTTTTTGTAAATAATAGACAATCTTCTTAAAGTATTACATAGATACTAAAGAAATATGTAGCCTTAAAAGCATAATTATGTAGAAATCTTCAAAGATGGTAGGTTTTCAAGCAGGGGCGTCTTAATTTTACTCCTCCTTTTACTCTCACACTTCTTCCCAATAAATATCTAATTATTGATGTTAATGTTTGCATTTCACGTTCGCTCATCTGTTTGTGAACTCTCTCCTGCCAAACCATCCATCTTCTCCTCCACTGCTCCTTCAAAATGTTAAATTAAGTAAATGTTTATTTCACTGACTCGTACCAGACAAGTTATTGGAGATTTAAAGACAATTGTGTATGATAACACATGGAAATGATTATATTTTAAAATTTGCCAAATTTTGAAAAGCTGTAGCTCAAAACTTATTATTACCGCCAAGCCTATTCTGGTCTCAAATTACTGTAAATGTATCTAGTTTAAAAATGTATATAGTGTTTTTTTTCAAAAACGTGCTCCTTTCTGGTTAAAATGGGGGGAAGAAGAGAAAAGTGCAATATAGAATAAAAATTATAGCTCTTTTGGAGATATTCAGAAGTAATCTTAAGAAAAAAAAAAAGAATATTTTATCACCGCTTGATGCAACTTAAGATGTACAAGGTTACTGGACTATGTAATTGCAATTCTTAACTTCATAACCATATTGTTTTTAGTCAATAATAACTATAAATAAGATAATTTCAACTATTTATCAATGATATTAAATTTGTTAATGTTTTAATCTATTGCATTTTATTTCAACAACATTACTGAGAAACCAGCAAGTGTCCCTATTCTCCTTTTTTGCTAACACTTGACATTTTATCGTTTCTTGAATACAAAACACTTAATTTAATTTTATACATAAGATTTATTAACATATCTGTCCTTTTATTTTTCAGGAAAAAAATAGAAGCGAGGATGAGAACAAAAAAAGTAAAATATGAATGAAGTTATCAAGATTTGCAGATTGTTTTAAGTAAAGCTGAAAAATGTTAAGCAGATATGAAGAAGCAACCATGTAAGTTTACTTAATAATATAATATAAACATGCATAATCTTCTTTTTTAGAACAAAGTTAACAAACGAATCAACGGTATTACTTCATTTTCAATAATTAGTGAAAAGAATTAAAATTTGGAAGTACTTAATCCAATTTTCTTATGTTAATTTCATTTTTTGTTTGTTTAATAACTTAAGTGGGTCCAAAGGGTATAATAAACATTCTAAAGGACAGATAAAATAATTTAAAAGTAATCTTTAACTTAACGATATGTATTTTACAGTAACACAATAAAACAATGAGAAGATATTAACTAATTTGAAATTGAATTTGTCATACCTTAAATGTTAAGATAAAGCAAGATCTAGATGTTTTAAAATGTTCATAAATTGAAATGTTTCAACTTAAGTATAAATTATAAATTTTTGAATGAACTTTAAATTAAATAATTTACAAATTTATAATACTAACATTACATTTTTTTATATGAACACATACAAGAATCATTTTGAATAAACATTCAAATATATATACATGATGACACTCGTTCATCTCTTATTTTCATAATTTGAACCTGAAAAATAAATAATATTTTTGATTAATACATGACAATGAATATTATGAGTTTAAATAGTCAAGAGTATAAACATAGAACTAAACTCTTAATATAATGGTTTGAAATTGTAAATGCATAAATCATTAGAAGAACAACCACATAATAATGGACCCTAAAAATTAAATATAGCTAAACTGAAAAAAAATTAACAATTAAAAATAAACAGTCCCATTACTTGTGGTATATGATAACAATGAATATTTAAAAAAATAATTGCAAGTTTCAAATACAAAATAAATTCAAACTAATAATTTCTTATTAAAATATAAAATATTTTTCAAGAAACAGATCTAAGACTTGACAAATTAACAACTACTGAAAGGTTTTTTAAAAGATAGGTTGAAAGTTAATGTCAACACCTTCCTTTTACTTGTTTTTGAACGATTAATTCATTCATAAGAATAGAAGTTTTTTTTTTGCTTTTTGGTTGTTTTGTTTTGTATTTACTTTTCATTTTCATTAGCTTTTCTGTGGCATAAAAAAAATTTACCATCATCCAATCAACAATGTATATTAAATAATTGTACTATAGATAAATTCAGGAAGATTCAGTAGGAATATTTAAAATAAACATTATGCCAACACAATTTCTTTAAAAATTAAAATACGTTATTTTATTTCTTTACATCTTTATAAAATCATCATGAAAAAATAGACGAAACAAATACTGCTTAAAGTTACTTAAGAGATATAAGGCTTTGAGGATCTGTTCATAGCCCAGGGAATTTAGCATTCTTTTTCAGAGTAATATTAAGTTCATCTTTTTTCACTGCATCTGAAAAATCTGTAGTTAAGGTATTAGACAAATAATGTATCGTCTTGTGTGTATTTTCTTATGATGTATCGAATAAACGCAGATAGAATGAAAGTTGTATAAGGTTTTTATGTTAAAAAACAAACGATATTTTTCTGCTGCTCTCATTTGTTATTAAGTTTTTAAGAATTGGGTGAATTTTTATTAATGTTGATGGAAGTGGCTTTATAAATATATTATCTAATTACGAAACTAATTTTTGTTATTTACATTATAAAAAGAGTGGATAGCTTTTTAGGTGTGATTTAGAATACCAAAACTTTTTTGTGTTGCATATTACTTAGCATACGTATGAGACTTTAAAATTAGAATTTTCAAAACTATTATCTTTCCTGTGATGCATAATGCGAAAGGTGACCACTTAAATAAAGGGAAAAGAAATCTCGAAAGGTTTTTGAGAATAAAGTATTATGTAAAATATTCGGACTGAAGAATGATGAGTCAAACGAAAAATTTAGAAGGTTGCACAAGCTAAACTACGTGAACTGTGTTGTGAACCGCATGAACCCGTTAAATATAATTATAATATTGCGGCAGATAAAGTTGAGTGTGTAACATTTTTGTGTCCAGTAACGAAAAAATACCTAGAACATTAATATATGCTGTGCCAATTAGTAAACGTCCCAGGTTTAAGTCCGAAGCGAAGGGTTGGGTTAAGACTGGCCGACTAGTTTTGATTGAAGAAAGCGAATGGTATCGGCATCGAACATTCGGTTTGATTATTATTATTATTTACAAGCACTAGCGGATCCAGGATTTAATTATGGGGGGGCTTCAGCCCGAAAGATTTTTTTTCGTCATATACATATAACGATAATTTTTTTGATAAAAAAGAAAGAAATTAACTACCTATATGAAATGGTGTTTAAGTTGTTCCTGAAGACCTATTAAATGTAATTACAGGGACAAGAATACTTAAAGAGATAGTTTTTAATATTTTTTTCTGTAAAACATTATATTTTACCATTTGGAGGAGGGGGGGGGGAGAGGGTTCAGCGCGAACACAAGGTTACTGTGAAAAAAAGCCTAGCTTAAAATTTTTTTTTTTTTCCTCGCCTTCCTCGTCCTCCCCTTCCTCGCCGTTAAGGCTATACGGGGTTTTCCTGGGCCAGGGAGTGTGGGCGGGGATTGTTTTGTGATTGATATCAGTGTACTTACATTGACCGCAGGTTATAAGACGGCCTTCAGCATTAAGGAACCAAATACGACGAGGTATGCGACGAAGAATATCCTGTCGAAAGCCGCAGTGACCAGGATCCATCCTTCCTGAGGATTCCTCCGACTTAAGATCATCCTGTCGTCATTGTTACCTTCGTAATCTCGTAACTCTTCCCCTGTACTGCTTGTATCTTCATCGTAACTGGGCTGAAAAATGGCATAATTATTTTTTTTGAAAATTGTTATTTATTGAAGCAAAAACCATAAAATATTGTGTTCAAGATACCTTCACCCTTAGTGTTGGCAATAGCAGCACTTTGGATAACCTTCCCCTAAGAAGATCTATCACAGCCCTCGGTAATCGAACCTGCGACAGCACAACGTTGTAGCACACAACGGTCAGGACTACCGTGCAACAGACCATAATAAGACTGGAGGCATAGAACATCACTGAAACATAATTGTCGTATTATATGGTAGTACCACTACATTAAGCAAAAATGTAACATACATTTATTATTCTTTATATTGTATGCAGAAGATCTATGAACCACCATTTTTTGTCTTCGTTTAGTATGAATAGGCAACAAGAAGAAATGAAGAAACAGGACGAGTGGATTAGAGTGATTTTGGTTGATCAATGAAATGTTGTTCATTTGCCGCTTAAGATTTTACTGTTGTAATGTTTAAGTCGTTATATACAGGATGTTTCAGGGTTAAGTGACCAAAACGTAAAAATGAACTAAGGACATAAACAAAAAAAAAAATTCTTTTGAAGGTATGTCCTCAAACGGTTAGTTTAGGAGATATTCACATCTAAAGATTTTTGTTGTTATGAATTATTTACGTTATATAAAATAAATAAAACCTATTTATTTGTTCTAACTACTTTATTAATTAAATGTAAACATTAACATTCATATTACTCCCATACCAGACTGAAACGACTAGAAACCGCCCGACGTTTTCGATTACTGCAGCACTTACTAGACAAACGCTCTAAGATTTCAATCAATTACAAACGACTCATATATATGACAATAATAAGACCTATTTGGACTTACGGAATTGAGCTTTGGGGCTCCACTAAACCGTCGAATTCCTCTCGTATCCAATCCTTACAATCCAAAATCCTTCGTAAAATCCTCAACGCTCCTTACATTGTCACAAATAAAATCATCCATAAAGACCTTAATGTTCCATATGTTTCCGATTTGGCCCAATCCAGATACCTATCATTCCATAACAAACTGCAGAACCATCCGAACCCTCTCGTTTCAAACCTTGCTTCCTCCTCGATCGCTGATAACCCTCCGAGGCGTCTTAAAAGAAGATGGCCTCGAGACCTTCTAATATAGAACTTTAATTTGAGTTCTACCAACGGGTAGTTTCTCTTCATGTTGTACATGTCATGTTACCAATGTCACATTTACTTGTTGTATTTCTCATGTAATACACTTGTAAATTTCATTAAAATAAAAAAACATTAATATTAAATGTTGTTCAAAGTGAAGGTATGTCCGCAAACTCTTTGTATGGAAGATAATTTAGATAGAATGCTGGTATGATCTTTTATCCCTAACTGTATAAAAACTATTGGCAGCATTACGACTAATACTATTTGGAGTTAGCATTGGGAACTCTCAATACTTACGGATTCCTTAAGGATACTTCAGAAGGATAATTTAATCTTATGAAGCAATAACAGATATCCAGTGCCGTTCTTAAATCTCAAGGGAAATCACTTTGAACAACATATAATATGAATGTTAATGTTTTACGTTTAATTAATAAAGTAGTAGGAACAAATAAATAAGTTTTATTTACTTAATATAATGTAAATATTTCATAACAGTGAAAATCTTTAGGTGTGAAAATCTCCTAAACAAAGCGTTTGCGGAAAGATATTTTTTTCTTGTTTTGAGGTCCTTAATTCGTACTTTCAGTTTGGCCACTTAATCCTGAAACACTCTATATGGTATGATTTGATTTGTACTATAGCATGTTCGGATGACTAAGAATTTTCGGTTATGGTGTTTGTATTTTGTTTATTTATGTTTGTTTTGTACAATCCTAAATTTCTGCTCCGTATGTACAAATTGGTCTCAGTATTGCGTTGTAGATTAGTCGCTAACTGTTGCCAAGAAGATGTGACAGATGATTATATCTTTTTGACCTTTAATTTCGTAAATGTGTTCCATTAATTAAGGTATTGTACATAGTTTTTTGTACGCTCTGTTGTTGTCGATGGTTATAGCTGGACATCATGCTTCACTTAGAGAAAGACTAAAAATAAAAAGTGTTTAATTTAGTAGCGTTTATTTTATTCAAATTTTAATTCAACATTTCAAATATAAATGGTAGTCTTATAATTTACGCGTTCAAAGAAATCCTTCAGGTTTATATATTAGTATATATTTTTAAGTGTATGTACATACCAATCAGTGGCGTACTGGGTCCTATGAGAGGGAGGCGAATGCTGAAGTAGACAAGAAACAAGGCGATTAGAATGACTGTAATTCCACATAGCAAGTACCGCTCCTTGCTCTGAGGTGGGAGCCAGAGTGGACTTAGTGTCAGCAGGATGGTACCTAAGGATCCAAAAATGTTAGCTCATTTTAAAAAAAAAATTTTATTAACTCCTTTTAAGAATGATGAACTCACACATAGCAGGCAGAATGACGATTGCCCTGTAGGAAGGAGATCTCCTCTCCACAGTCAGATTGAAAGTTACGTCGACGTACGGTTCGGAGCAGCATTCGTAATATGATGACGTTCGCCTCTTCGAGACTCCGACCACGTTCCACTCAGTCACCTCCATTGTTTTTATAGATGCCTCAATCTCGCCCTAAGAACACATTAGACTAATGAAATTATAATATAGCGTATAAAATATAAATATAGACAACCGAAATCCCTCCTCAGTTAAGTAAACCCCGTTAGTCTACTGGAAGTAATTCACACCGACCGATATTAGTAAAGATTACCCTACATTGTGTACTTTAAACGGGGATCACGATGTGGTTTTTCAGGTTGTCAGATGCTCTGCAAAGTTTTGGGCAATGGACAGGACCAAAATATAGAGAATACTTCTCTGTAGCGGATTATTGAAATAAAAACTTCTTTAGGAGCGTTTTGCACTTTTTTTTATGGAGAGTGGATTTGATTAAGCCAACAGATCTCCGATGTGTAACGCTCGGATAATGTTGGCTGGATTCCACTAATTGCACTGTTAAAATATCTCAAAAACTAAAAATCTGCATATTGTTAGTAAGGAAAATGTTCATCATTTCATCCTGTTTATAATGAACTATTATTCAAAACTGTATCTTAACGCGATGCCGTGTTAGAAAGGCGAAAGGGGAAAAAAATAGTGTCGAAAACAAAATTGTAACGTGTTTTATTGAAGATATGGATTAAAAGATCTCAGAAATTATAAATGGAGCTGCATACTATACATAAATAGATGGCGCAACAATCCGTTAACGGGTCTAGGCCGCTTCCAAAAGTCTCCGCCAGTTGGCTCTGTCTGTTGCTGCAGCTCTCCAGTTCCTAACGCCGAGGAGATTGCGTGTGTTCGCTGTGACGGAGTCAGCCCACCTCACATTTGATCTACCCACTCTTCGCTTGCCATGAAGCTCTTCAGCCAATGTCCTCTTTGGGATCTTGACCTCCTTCATCTTCGCCTCGTGGCCCGTCCATCGAATTCTTCCAATCTTAATATACTTGATGATATCAGGGTTTCTGTACAGCCTTGATAGTTCCTGGTTCTTCCTCCTTTTCCAGGTTTCTCCCTCTCGAACCGGGCCAAAAATACCAAACACGAGAAGGAGGTTCTCACTAGCTTTAGTGAAGGCCCAGGTCTCTGACCCAACCGGACGAATCAGGGTCTTATATAGGCCAATCTTGGTTGTGTTAGAGAGGAGTACTCTTGAAGTACTTTTCTAGCCCAAAATAGCTTCGATTGGCTGAAGCAATTCTCCGGTTGATCTCCTGGGATATGTCGTTATGGATGTTTATTTCTGAAACCAGGTATACGAAACTTCGCACCCTCTCAAATCTGTATGGTATAACTTCGAAGAAACCTGTCCTTGCCTCGGATGGTCCTATTCTTAAATATTTTGTCTTGGCTTTGTTGATGATCAAGCTAAGAATTTTCGCTTCTTTTTCTAGAGCCAAGAACGCTTCTCTTAGGGCACGCTCCGATCTGGCTGGTGAGGGAAATTTTCAACATTTCATCTTTGTAATGGACTACTATTTGTAATTTATATTTCATAACATATAATCTCGCCTTGTTGATGTTTTCACTTCATTCGTGTGGTCCAAATCACACACCTTAGTTTTTTTTGTTATAAAACCCATCAAACTTTCAAAGATTTTTCAATATTAAGTTCTTCCTATTCGGCGCGACTCGATAGTGCTCGCCATGATTTCTAAGATTGCATGCTCTTATAGGACAATTAGAAATCGACGCTTATACATCAACATAATAGAAAAGCCGAAGCAAATATTTTAAATCGAGCAAATGCTTCATTCAAAGTTGCATCAAACTTCCCGCCCTCTAAATTACGTCATATGGGGCAAGAGGTTCCCTCTCCTCATTGTTCTATTGTATTTAGCATTCTATGGCTAAAGCTAATGATATGAAATACTTACAATTTTGCTGATCTGCAAGTCGACCTGATCGCCAGAATAGGTCCAAGACCCGAGCCTCAGCGAACAGAGGTGTCTGTCGAACGGCCACTTCGAGAGGTCCATGTCGCAGAAGACGACGAACTGAGTTGGCGGGACCCACATTACCTTGCCCTCTGGCGTGGCGATGCAGTGCGTATTACCGTAGTGGTCTATGTTGTTGCCCAAGGCGCTGTAACAAGTAAGGCATCAGTCAGTTTGGAAATTTACTTAATCTGTGCTAAGTAATCTGGTGCAATGCCTGTATCACACGACTTTCACTTACCATTCTAGTTTGAGTAGAAATTATTTTTTAAATAAATTCCTCAGACAGACAAAGTTCAATATCTTGGACTGACCTTTGACAGAAGAATGACATGGGGGTCACATATCAAAAACAAAATAAAAACTCTAAACCTAAGACTACGACTGTAGTACTCACTCCTTGCAAGAAATTCGAAATTAAAACGTAGACAGAAATTGAATACGTATACTTACTTACTTAAGCCTATTTGGACCGACGCTTCACAGGTATATGGGACAGCCAAAAAGACTCACATACGTAAATTACAGACTTTTCAATTTAAAACTTTCAGGACTATCACCAAGGCTCCTTGGCACGTCACTAACATTACTCTACATAAAGACTTACAGACGCCAACAGTTAACGACCACATACGAACATACTACAAAAATTTCATAATAACTTATACATACCAACTTATTGATTCGAGGCACGGCCACAACTAACGTGGCCGATAGCACCCGAAGGAGGCTTAAAAGAAGCTGGATGAGGGATCTCCTCCACTAATTATAAATGTTACACTCAAGACAGGAAGGACGCCGCTGGGTACTCCTTTTCCTCACGCCTATTCCAAGGCCAATTAATCTTCTACATCTTGAAATCACACTCGCTGATTGTCGGAACTTCTGACAGGTGTGAGTTAAAGAATTGAGTTAGAAAAAAAATAAATAAATGATTAATGAAATAAATTACTCTTCGACGTGAAACTTGTCCTCCTATTTACCTGGATAACGCTCAAATTCCTCAGACAGAAATACAGACAGACAGACAGTCTGTAAACCAAAGAGTACGACTAATTAAAACGACAAAAATTTAATACATGCACTTAATAACTCAAGGCCATTTGGACCTAAGCTTCACATATAAACGAGACAGCCAAAAAGACCCGCAAACATAAACAACAAAAACTTTCTGGACTGAAATCAAAGCTCTCTGGTACGCAAACAATATTAATTTGCATAAAAACCTACAGATGATCTCAGTTAACGATTGAAAGCGAGTCCACAAATGACATGCCCGATAACATCCATAGGAGGCTCAAAAGAAGCTGCACGAAGGATCTCCTTGCTTGACTATAAATATTAAAATCAAGATAGGAAGCGACGCCGCTAGGAACTCCTCTCCGTCACGCCTACTAGTGTCTTATTCCGTATTCCTCTGCTTGACAGAAAACACACTGGTTTCCAGTATTTTCGACAGGTGTGAATAGATTCGAGATGATATTAAAGCCTAAACTTTAGCATTCTCGAATTTCGAGACGTGGATTCGAATCCAGTCTGGGCGGTTTGAAATTTATTTCGTGGCGAACTCATAGAATGAATCTCGGCCTTCACATTCTGGTTAGGTTTGGTTGTATCTCTGGAACAACCTATTCGTATGCCATAAAAGATGAGGTTGAGGATAACCGAGAAAAAAAAAAGTGTGTAGATAAATAAAGTTAAAAATAAAGAAATGGACAATCTTTAATTGATTATTAATTTAACAATTATTAGAGGCTTAAGGTGGTTGAGCGAGTTAAGACGCTTTCAAAAATTTTATGTCGTGCACAAATCCCGTTTGTGGGATTTAATAACAAAATACATAATTAATAATAAATTTAAAAAAAAATAATAAGTGCAGGTTCTAATTGATTGCTTTGACCACTACGTTGTGGGTTCGATTCTTCACCCAGAGATTCACAGGAGGATGAGCGACACCATAATTCCTACTCCTTCAGATTGGGGGTTGGATATAAGGCTGATAATCACCTATCCCATAAAAAACGGTGGAGATTGCTGTAAAAGATTGCCAACCATCCTTCAGCAAAATGGCTGATGAAGATGGAGTGATTCGTTATTGCGTCCGGTTAGTAAATCTCGTGCTCCCTGAATATCTTGAAGAACAGAACCAAACGATAACAACTGTCGTCTATAACAGCCTTCCCTTCCTCCCCTCCTCCCCCCCCCAAAAAAAAAACCAAAAAAACTCATGATGGAAGTCGAAGGAGGCGGAGGCTTAAAAAAAATTCATAAATAAATCTTTAAATATTATGCATCAAATGTACTGGTGGTGCCATTAATGGTAAGGTTATTTTTTCCTTTAGTTGCAAAAAATAAGCACATTCCACAGAAAAATAAGGGAAAAAAATAATTATAAAGAAAAGGAATTCGTTATATTTAATTTCCCTAAAACTATGAGAAATTACAATTGCTTATGAGAAACGTGGTGGGTAAACCACAGAGAGATATGGCACAACCTCAGGACCTTTCAGAGAAACGGATTTTCTGCTGAATAGTAAAAGCTTTAATTTCGAGTCTCACCGAATTTTTAACTTCGAGATAAAATGATTCACTAATTACCTTGATGAATTTTCCCTGTATGAAATCAATATAATAATAATAATATTTTAATTTATCCTGGGAAGAATCCCTTTAGAATAATTAACAAGGACAAAAATGTGGACTTTTAAGCCTCAGATATATAGAAATGTATTTACAAAGTAAACTAATAAATATAATGGAAAAAAATCTTCTAACTTAAATCGATTAAGAAGAAAAATAAATAAATGAAAGAACAATGAAATGTAAATAAACTAATAATATATATAAATATTTATAGAAATTTCTATTCATAATTTTATAGGGACTGGATTGAAAGGAAGTGAATGAATAGGCGGGATTTAAAAGTACAGAGAGTATTGAAACGACCGATTTCAGGACATAATGAACTTGAAGTAACTGTTTTTTACTTTTACTTGCCTATATATGTAATATATAGTAAGGGTAAGTATTGCGATCGTGAAAATTTTTGAATCTGAGTTTTCAACGGAAATACACGTTTTGAGGTCCCCTGAATCCAAATAAGCAAGTCCCGCTGGTCTGTGTGTGTGTTAACAGTCTAGTTCAAAAATGAACATTAGTACGAAAGTGAAATTGCATATTTAAGGTTTTTATATGCTAGGGTTATTGCAGAAACCAGCTAGCCGGAAGTGGCACTTTATATGTTTAATGCACTATACACATTTTTAGGATTATATCGAAAACCGCTCCAACGATTTTGATTAAATTCATCACATCAGTGTAAAATTAAGCAGTTTTAAATAAAATGTGGTTGTTATTCTGATTGATGTTCTCCAACAGGGCTTAAATGGCTAATTTTAAATATTAGATCCCTCTAAAGTACATTTAATTTTTTTTTTATTTGAAACAATTGACCATTTCATTTAATTTCTAATATGAAAAATGGTTAAATATAAAATATGAAAGAATTTGATAAGAGGTCGTAACGGAGAATAGTTACCCAAGCTTGCCCGAAAGATTAGAACACGCTTCCATACGTATCATGATATTAATATAATACGGACTCCTACAATATGATATAAATATACATATGTGGTTTTCACAAATGCTGTTTTTGGTATTATTTAATATTTAATTGTATAGATTATGTAAATATTAAAATTTGTATATATGAGGGTACTTATACAAATAAAAATACCCACAATGAAATATAAATAAATATAGAGTCTATAATTTTTACTTTCACTTCGCTTTGTCTGAAAATGCTTATTTCTGCTAAGAAGAGTAAGCAAAAGTTGTGTGATGCGCGCACCGCCCCAATTTTTATTTATGAATGTTTTTGTGTAATTTGATGTACCAATTGTGTTTTTGCATCGATAAATAAAGTAATTTATTTTTAAACGTGCTTAATATAAATATAAGTATTAATATACTTTACATAGAGACCTACAGATGCCAATAGTTAACGACCACATACTAACATGCTACTAAAACTTCACATAATTAGTCAAACACAAAAACCTCCTCTCTCTATAAGGTTATGTATATTTTAAAGCTCTTTACATTTCAAACTAACATATTTTAAAATTAAAATTTACATTATTAAACTATCTTTATGTATTGTTAAACCCGATTATTAATCCCCCCTTTAAAAAAACAAACAAAAAAAAAACAGAATTTTTATTTTTATATTCAGATTTAAGATTCAAGAAACCACTTTTATACCCAAAATTTAACATACATTATTCTAAAAAAATATACCTAAATAACTAACAAACTCATTAGTTTTGCATTTTAATATACTTATTATTTATGATTAACACTGAGCCTTAAATTATAATTCCACCTAGTAAAAATACGATTAGAGGAAGATTTCCAATAGAAAATACATTTAAGGAAGCGTGATAAATTATTAATAAGTAAAGGGGAAAAGGGGTGAGCATCAGGAAGCGATCCTAAACCAATTCGATACCGATTTGTAACAGGTTGCTCAAATAGATTTGTAACGCATCTGGCTTTAATATTGTGGTTTTGTATAATAGATGTATATTTCAAGCTTTATGTATTGTTTTAATTATTATGTATTTCAATTATTCGATAGGATTTGAACTCTGTATTCATTTACGGCATTAATTTTTGAGAAAAAAAAATACATTTTGCCTCAATTAAGGGCATTGAGTATTCGGGATGTATGAAACACAATCATACCATATATACAATAAAACAAAAACAATAGAAAACTATAACAGCAAAAAAGAAAACAAAACTTGGAATAAAAGAATAAATTAAACATGAGACAATATTAAATATATATAAAACAAAAATTAAAAACACATTTATATTTATTTACAGTCAGCCCAGGAAGCTCCGAATCGAGCCCTTTACCGGAGTCGGACCCTTTAATACGTTTTATTTTTCCTAATACTTGTTCGATTTAGATGATTTTTCAACTTCCTTTTTTCCTCTTTTCTATATTTTTCACAGCCTACAATTTAAAAATTCTATTCAATCCCATCCCACTAGATCTCGTACCTCCAACCTCTATCCACCTCCTCACCGAACTGCTGCGTTTGACAAATCCTTTATAATTCAAGCCGTCTCCTTCTGGAA